TCTCCGAGAGGAGTACGCAGCGTCGACGGGGGGAGACTTCCGGCCGCGTCTGGACCCCGGTAAGTCCGGACTAAGGTACTTCGAATTCAGCTACGTTATTAACGTAGCTGAATTTGCGTACCTTAGTCCGAAGTCCGGACTAAGTGGGGACCAGCCCTGAGGAGTCTAAGTGTATGCCAAGAAAAACACGAGATTGGAGTGAAACTGAGTTCTTGGTGAATCAAGTTGATGAGATCTCAGAGACTACCCCAACATTGAAAAATCCATTAGTGGCCCAATTCTAGTTGCTTGCCAGATACGACCTTTGAATTGCCGCCCATTGATCTCTTCCTTTGTCCTCTCTCCATGCAGCTCCCTGCAGGTGCATCTGGGGAATTATAATCTCCGGGCGAAGGAAGGCACAGAACAGATACGAAGAATCCGCAAGTTCTTTGTGCATCCAGGGTATAACCTCCGCCGTTATGACAATGACTTCATGCTTCTGGAGTTGGATGCACCAGCTCAACTCAACAGCTACGTGAACACAGTCAACCTGGCTACCCGTTGTCCCTCTCCTGGAACACCATGCATCGTGTCAGGATGGGGCTCTATCAGTTCCCCCCGAAGTATGGCATGCTGGGGTGTAGAGGGAGGGGTTGAGGTTGGGCTCAGCTTGGTGAGGGGGTGGAAGCTCTTTAAGGAGACCTCGTTAACTGGCTGTCAAGGGTTCTTGGCTTCTCCTTGGAGAAATTTTTCAACAGAAGTGATTTGTAGTGAAAAACGCAGCTTCGACAACACCAAAGTGTCCCACAAATTCGGGGCAGTTTCATTCATTTCAGAAAAAAATATTCTGAAAATAGTCAAAACTTTGCATTTGAAAACACTGGGACACAATGGCTTGATTTTTTTTTTCTATTCAGAATGTTTCCTTTTGAAATTTCCTTTCCTTTTGTTTTCAAAACAATTTAAAAACATTACAGACGTGCTTCAAATCACAATGAAATATTATAATATCACATAAAATACTGGATTTAAATGAAAGGATTTGTTTGGCCTGAAATGAGGATTTTTTTCTGGCTTTTCTGTTCATCAGAAATTTCCCTTTTTGGAAAAGGAATGCGGCCAGATCCCAGCTGGGATTAATCGGCCGTAGCTCCATTAGAGTCAATGGGGCCAGATCCCAGCTGGGATTAATCGGCCGTAGCTCCATTGGAGTCAATGGGGCCAGATCCCAGCTGGGGTCAATTGGCCATCGCTCCATTGGAGTCAATGGGGCCAGATCCCAGCTGGGGTCAATCGGCCATAGCTCCATTGGAGTCAATGGGGCCAGATCCCAGCTGGGATTAATCGGCCGTAGCTCCATTGGAGTCAATGGGGCCAGATCCCAGCTGGGGTCAATCAG